CTAGCGGACTTAGCTTTACACAAGACTGCTTGGGGTTTTGGGTTCGTCAAGGCTTGGACGTGAAAGCTTTCAAAGTTGAGGCCTCTCTGTCTTCGCAATCTAATGGAGAGAACTGGTGTGTAGCAAGGTATACACGAATACAGCGGGTTTAGGGCTTGGGGATTTAGCGCTCGTGCGCGAGGATTCTGAGTTTTCGGAGCTCGGAGCTTGCAGCTGTTGGCGATTTCGTAAGGGCATGTTGTTGTAGGGCTTATCGGTTTGCAGCTAGGGGAGTTAAGACTGATTCTTTATGGCATTTAAAAGTCTGAAGAGAATACCAAGGCTGACAATCAATGTTCGATCTTGATTAGAAACGAATTGCGGGGTCTATGGCTCCTAGTACAATCAAGAAGGGCAGGGACATCCTGCGACTTCTAGTAAACTTCCGAACCAATTCATAAGAGAGCGAGGAGGCTCAGTTTTTTTTTAGCTCTGAAGAGAACAGGCAGGGCTAGGTTCTTGCTAATAGAGCTGGGCCTTTATGTTTACAGGCCTGGCCTTTAAAACCTTTCAGAATGAGTTGCAACTTCAAGAAATCCATTGAGAATCTAATTGACATCTATGAACATCTGATGAAAGCCGACCTAATAAAAACCAGTGAGCATCTGATTAAGCTTCTTAAAATCTCATCAAAATTCAATGAAAACCAAGAGGAAAATCAAATGCTACTAAATAAGACTCAATAAGATTGTAATGGCCCCTCTTTGAACCCACCCAATGTTTGTAAACATAATTGAGACCCCCCCCCCCTCTCCCAAGACATTTATATTATTGCGGGCGACCTGCTCGACTATCCCCTTTTGGAATTTGATTGCCTGGCCTGATCGAATTAGTGGTCTAGCACGAAATCGGTGGTTCTGGTGGCATCAAATTTCAGGCTCCATGCGAAATACAGCCTGGCCGAAAAATCGAATATTTAGCCTTTCGCTCACACCAACCACACAACCTTTAAGTAATCGAGCCCGCCCAAATTGTTTAGGTCATTGAGCTTCTGGGGTCTGCTGAACTACCCTTTGGAATTTAATTGCCTGTAAGCGGTCTAATACGAAGTCGATGGTTTTCGGTGGCATCCGATTCCACATGACTCAAGTAATAGAGCCTGGCCTGTAAAATCAAAAGCCTCTGCACCCTAAGAACCTTCACATCATTGCGCCCGGCCCACATCTTTTGGGTGGCATCAGATTGGATTCCAGGTTTGAAAGGTGATAGTAGAGGCCAGCCTTCATCTTTTAAGACCGGCCTTTAAAACCAATAGCATTCTGGCCTTTCAATAAACATTCACTAGATCTTTCTTCGGCAGAGAAACTTGACTTGATTGGCACCCCTCAAATCTAACAGAGGGTCCCTTGCACCCCGTCACACTAATCAAGATCCAACATGAAGGTCTTCTAGGGATACTTGGGTTGCATGGAACATGTAGGGGCAAATTCAAGGTCATTTCAGGGAGTGTTTAGCTTCGCCACTGGCATCATGCAAGCATGCAAACTGGTGCGCAGAAGATGTGGCAGCAAGCAAGGAACCCCCAAGACTCCAGCTTGGCGAAGAAGATTGAGTCATGCACTTTGAGCGTCCCTCCCTTTCAGACATACGAAACCATTCTCTTCTCTGAGCACAAGTTCTTTAACACCTGAGCTCTCGACTGCGTTCAATACCTGCCCTGGTTTCGGAACCAGCGGGGCAAAGCCGTCAGAATAAGGCCCACGCATCAATGCATCTGGGCCGCAACCTTCACTGCAACAGGATGTCGCCGGCAACTGCAACCACGTCGCTCATGAATAGGCATCTAGTGTTGCCATGCTCACCATCTCAATCTTAGTGTCAGCGGAAGCATGAGGGTCAGTAGGCGGCCCTAAAGCAAAAGGAGCAGGGGACTTAGGCCGAGTTAAAGCGCCGTTGGACGAGGAGCAGACGGCGGAAAAAGCTCAGGGCTTGATTGTTTGAGGTCTAGTGCCTAGAGCCCCTACAAGGTGGGTCACAGACAACAATCACAATGATAGTCTTCGTGGCTTGTATGGCTGATATGAACTCTCAAGACCTGTGTAAAGCAAATCAGCGAGAAACATCTGCAATGCACTTGCTACAGTACCAGCCTAAACACTTCTCAAACGCTAAGCCTAGCATAGCCTAGCCATGCAGCTGCAGCTGCAGCTGCAGCTGCTGCTGCCGCTGCTGCTGCTATTTCTACGGAGTGAGCGGCCGCTACTCGGCTTCACTGGGTGCTGCGCTCCGGGATGAATTCGAAGGGACGGCATGCATGGGCAAGCCGGCCAAGATCGCCTGTCTGCAGACAAGATCAAGCTCGTTCAAGAGAAAGTCATGAGGGTGTTATGGAGTGGGAAGCTTTGCTTCCTCTTCGCAGCTGCAACTCAAGCACTGACCCCATACTCTTGGTTCATACGCACCCCATTCGACGGGGCCTCAAGATGCCTAAGGCTGAGTCATAGGCTTTCCTGCCCCTATCTTGAAATCGTCAACCCTACCTCGCCAGCAAGAATCGCCGAAGGACCAACAAGTCCAAAATCCCGGACTTGAACACTCGGAAGCCCAGACTACCAAATCCTCACACCTCTAACCTGAGAGCCTGCGCGCCCCAGATACAGACTATCATAGACTCCTGAATCTCAATCGCCTAATTCCCCCAACCCCTCAAACTTCGAAAGACACAGTGCCTGAAGCTGCGCGAAGTCATCACCCATGGCGATTCGCTATTTCGTTAACCAACTTCGAGACACCCAGTTTGTGGCTCACCATGTCATGGAGTTCCGGATAAGGAAGTTTGAGGCTCAAAGCTCTGGAGTTATTGGCTTAAGAGTTTAGCGCTGCGGGTTGAGATTTGACGGTTGGAAGTCCCGTCATACATTCTGGCAGGACAGGTCAGTGGACGAGATTGTGGTTTAGCAGGTTCTCGCCCTCGTCGCAGTGCAGCTCCAATGGGACCCGCCACCTGAGACCCCAGCACTATACGGCTGCGGAGAAGTGCTTCCAAACATGTCAATTCGATGATTCTCTCCGATGACCAGGACCCATTTGGGCTGGCTTTCAAACGGGCAGGTCCAAGGCACACGCTCCGCTCCTAAGCGGGACGGTGCCTGTTTGAGCCAAAGGCACGCCAAAGGCATGGTACAAGAATACAAGGTGTGCAGACATAAGCGGTCTCGATGCAGAGTTCAACTTGTCTCACCTCCGGGTAGGTTTCCAAGGTCCCCTTGAATGGGCTCAGAATTCGTCAAATGCTCTTTACGGTCTTCAAACAAGGAAGCCGGAAGCTGTAGCGTTGCAAAGGTTGGACAGCTGCACTGGTTTCTTGGACGGACCGAGCGAGCCCGCCGATTATTCACGTAGCTGGTCTGCAAGTAAAACACCTACGAGGCCCTGCAAACCCTGCCAAACAAGAGGGTTCAAGCTGCACATGCAACAGTTCTTGAAATTGCAGGCCCCTTACTTCTTGCACAGCCTTTATTGCGGTTGCAATCTTACTGTATGCTGCACCTTGGGAATATCTTCGAAGCCGTTTTCAGACCCCTTACACCCCCCAACGTATATGTCTATACCCATACATCATATTTACATCTGCAAAATTTTTGTACGTATGTATATGTATAGGTATATATCCATATCTATATTATATACACAGTATACACATACCAAAGCCAGAGTTCATGCAGAAGTGTTTGTTTTTGCATGCTGCCTGCATCGCTGGAACGTTGTCCGTGAGACCTAGGGGTTGGCTGACACATGGCTTTGTTCTAAAGCATGCAAGGAAATCATGTAGGATTTTACAAGGGAAGGGCTGTTCTCGTGGATTGGGCTGTTTAGGACCTGCACGACATGCTAGAGTGGCCAAGTCCTTGGAGTAGCCTTAAGATTGGGACTCTCTGACCTGGATGGATTTGCGTCTGCATGCAACATGCTGCGTGCCTTCAATTGGTATTTCTCCCTCTGCAGGTATTCCACAAGAGGCCCCATGCTCTAGCACAAGCCTCATGGCATGCAGTTTCGTCTTGGTTGCCCTTCGTGAGGCGGGTAGCCTAGCGAGGTTCAGGAAGCAGTAGGGAGCGCCGATGGAAACTTTTCTGATTCGCTGACCCAATTGAGCTCATAGGCTTCCGGGAAAGGCCAACTCACGTGTCCTATGAAGCCACAATAGAGCGTACTAAATGGAGGCTAGCGCTGGGGAGCGTCAAAAATGGCGGATGACTACCACGGGGTTAATGCTCTCTGTTGGTTTATAAGGCCTCCATGAAAGTAAGCCGTAAAGAAGTTGTTCAAACATGTTTGTAAATGCAGATATGAGCACATGCCCGCACTTAATCAGCCCCTAAGAAGACCTAGGAGTGTTTTCTGGAGAGACTCCACTTTGAGGACCAGGGCTAGACTGCCCCATACTCTACACAGGACGTGAGGGAGTGAATGCACCAACCAAGCTCAAGACCCTGTATGGCAGCATAGTAGTTGTAAAGCCACTGATCAAGCAAATAATGTGTTCCTTCATTCTCGACTCCCTTTCGGAAATGCTGCAAGGGGCGCTGAGCTTCTGGCTGAACAGGATCATCAAATACACCCCCGCCCACTCCGACTGACACTGAAATCTGGCCAGCAGAAATATTACTGGGAGCCCACTACCATAAGCGTATCCTGAGAACCTCTATCTCTGCTAATCTAGCTCTTAAAAAAAACTATCGATTTAATAACTCTTTATGTAAACGAAGTAGCCTTTTGCAACTCTAGATTGTCCAATGACGGCTACCATCTCCATCTCCGTCCGCCAGGGCCGATTTCAGCATCTTTATGTCGGTGGGCGGAGAAGCACTAACCTTGACTGTTGCAGAACCCAAGCAAAACAAACCTAATAGCATACAAAAACAACGTAACAAAGGTTCATGTTGTCATCCGAATTACACATGCAAAGAGAAGGATAAGAAATGGCAAGCGGTTTCTTGAGCAGTCCAGAAACTGGGAGGCTAGACCTTCTCCTCCTCGTCTTGCTCGCCTCATGGAGATATGGCGACACAGGGCGGGATGATGTGTGATGAGGCTTTCATGATGCTGATGTTGTGTTTTGTGCAAGTACTTACGTGTTTGTAAGAGAGCCCTGGTCTAGGGAGCCACATTTTTTTTACCCCTTCCTTGCCAACACATAAGGCAAAGACGAGCAAGACGCGCCGAGATATGCTGTAACTTCGAGACTTCGGAGAACAATGGCCTTAAGCAGAGCGCTGCTTCGTGGCACATAATGCTACTGTAGTGAATGTTCTGTTTCTTAAGCGCAAAGCCTTGACCAGCCCCAGCGCCTTCCATGGCCTTATTCCGCTGAGGATAAGTTCATCCTTGTGCCGATGACCAAGCGGATCTGGTGTTGATAGATTTGTTGATAGAACTTACCGAAATTCACACAGACATTCCTGGTTTACCGGTTACTGGGCTCTGCTCCATCCGCAAGACAAAGGGGAATTCAATGCGGACAATCTAAGCTAGGCTCTTTTAATCTATCTGCACGAGTTGCACGCATAAGTTTAACATCTCAGGTTGCGTAAAAGCTGTCCGAACCTGATACTTTGCGCCAGGTCTGGACCAACAGCACGCATCGGTTGGCCTGCATCCCCAACCCTGAAAGACCTGCTGTCGGCGCCTGGCCTTCGGCCTCTTCCAGGTCCTCCGCTGGCCTGAAAGAACATAGGAAGTTTCACAGAAGCTCTCCGAGTTCAGATTTCCGGAGCTCACTGCGGTGGGAAGAACGGATTGGGCAGACCCGCCAAGCCCCTTGCTTCGACAGGCTCTTCTCTAGCGACACCTGGGCTCAAAGAATGAGAATGGTGCGTTGGGGCGACCTTGCAGGTTTTGCAGTATGGCGGGATCCAATTTCATGGTTTTGGAGCCCAAGCAAGATCACCAGCACCGCAAACACAAGGACACCCCTTTCTAACCCCTTTGAGCAAGTCAGGTGCTTCCGCATGGCTTTTTTCTTTGAGGTAACCCTTCAATCGCAATGCCCAAACCATTGTGAACGAGGCCTTCCTGTCCACGGCTTGTGCTACATGTTCCAGACGGTTATTAGAAAGACCTACCTTATGAGAAAACGAACAACTACGATCGTCAAAGCGTTGAAATGCAACCCTGCGCACAGAAGTTAAAACACCTCAAAATCACTTCTCGCAAGCCAACCCGTTGTTGGGTCTGCTTCTTCTTCTGCATCCCGAGAATGTGACAGAGCTGACAGCGCATCTCCAACCCAAAGCCTAAACTTTCCCATCCCCAAACCCAACACAGCATCGGAAAGTGGGTAACCTACACTCTCCTGATTTTGTGAGCAGCACAGCTTGCGATGCTGAGCGAAAATTGTGCGCAAATTTGGCGCCAAGGCAGGTGCTTGCAGCACTTCTCGGTCATCTGGGGTTTAGACTCCACACGGGTTTAGTGAGTGTGTGTATGTAGCTGAGATCTATGTGAGGGTGTAAAGTATAGTTTCATCTGCAGCAAGGCTTTGGATTTTGTGTCAGGTGCACGAGGGTAAAGTTTGCAAGATCAAGAACTTTTGGCTGGACACGCCAGCTTTGGCAGGCCGTTCTTACGGCTCTTGTTTATCCTCGCTGGTACTCAGATAGGGATGGGAGTGAAGGAATGAAGAATAGGGAATACAGGTCACACTGGTTATTTGGGGCACTACTGCAGGGATCCTGTGAGGAAATCGTTCCAATGGTTTCTGGATTCATCATCCACTCATTCCGGACTAAGTACCATGGAGTTCTGGCACAGTAACTTCAAAAGTTGGGCCCCCTCAAAGGGCATGCGACCTAAGGCCAGGAAACACCTAGGCCATCAGTCAGGAATCTCTGAGAAAATCTTACTTCACGGGACCAGAATAGGTATTTACTACGGATCCTATCTTTCAGGGGTGATGACATCGTCATGTTGTCGGGCCTCAACTACACCTTTTCAAAGTTTGCGTGGGATCCTGTTACTGATGGCCAGGAGCGTCCGAGCTACGCCTACAGGGGCAGATTGACCGCAACAATGCCTGCTGCGGTTGTTATGGTGAAGTGCCTGGCATTCCTTATGCTGGGTACTGGATCAGAACGGTAAGGTATGCATCAAGGCCTTTTTCTGCTGTCATTTTGTAATTTTCGAGCCCATAAAGGTGACAACAGGCGCGACACTTTTGTGCCGATGATCATGAGCCACACACTGCACATGCAAATGATTGATCTCAAATATAATGGCAACTCTCATACCAAATCATTATCTTCGCTCCAGCCATATATGGAACACACCCAAAACAACTCTTCAAACGCTGCTGCCTTACGAAGTCCCTGCTCTGGCTTGGCGCGAATAAACATGAACTAACTGGGGTGGCCCCTACAAAGCTATCAAGGAAATTAGGTCCTACTGGGGAGATGAAGGCTGGGCATGGATCACGCGTGGTCTTCCTCTTCTGAGCCTGCGCAGGGGATGGTCCGGGAAATAATATGGGGGTTTGCAGAATAGGGTGCCTGCACTCGGGATTGAACCGGCTTACTGAGGAATCCTTCTCGTGGAACAAGGATGTTCGTACCCGTCCGCGAAAAGCATTTTATCCCCATGCGTTGGCAGCACGGCTGATTTTGTAATGCGACGGCAGGTCCTTTTCCTACTCTGGCAACTGGAGGACTTTTGCTGCTTCTGTCTTTACTGCTTTTGTATCCATGGGCACATGCACTTTCCGACATAACGCAGCATCCCGCCTACCAAAACAGAAGTCCCAAGTGGGACCCAACATGCGTGCGCAAAATTCAGGGTTCCTTCTGCAACTATGTCAACCCCACGAGAAACTCCGTTCAACCGTAAGACTTTGGTGACAAAATGATACCGTATGATGTAATTAGTCCTTGAAAAGCCCCTGCAATGCCCATGATACTCCGCAGAATACTAGGAACCACAACTCGTGCTGCTGAGTCCATGTCCCCCTTGGTGGGCGGTTACGACCAAGACCTCACTATCTACAATCCAAGCAGGAGTCTACACTACACTATGCTAACGTCCAGCGGTACCTGGGAACTGCGGTTACGCTCTTCAAGGGAGGGACGTCTCCTTTCCTTGGAACTGCACGCTACTCACAGTGCATTCGGGGCGGCCGAAGATAAAGAGAAAGGCAGGCTGCTCATGGAGAGCTGGAGGGAGCCGGGAGGAAGGCAACAGCCAGAAGGGGTGCGTGCAAGGCAAGCAGGACAAGTGAAAAGAGTCACAGCTCTGCAAACGGGGAGGCGTCCCCTGAACCAGAAGGCAGCCTGCGGAGGACTGCCCTGGCATTCTCGCGCTGCAAGGAGATTGCGAGGCTCTGCAAGAGACGGTCTGTCTCGGCAGCTGGGGTGTCAGCTGAGCGCCCAGCAATGAGGCCGCCGAGGGCAAGCCCGACAACTGCGGCCGTTGGCCCCCAGCCCCCACCACAAGCCTCAGCGATGAGAGTGACAAACTGGAGGCCCTCTGCCTGACAAAGGCGCTCGGTGTCAAGTTGGGAGCGCTTGCGCGCCGCATATGTTTGAACAGCAGCATACTGGAGCAGGCAGACGCAGTAAGCACAGCACCGGCACGAAGCCCGGAGGTGACTGCTAAGTCGAGAGCTGCAGCCCCGTGCAAGCCCCACTGCGCGAGCCACACGTCTGCAGGGCGCCGGAGCCCAGCCCCGCGAGCGCCAGGCTCTGCTCCATCCTCGTCAGGGCGCAGGGGGAGGAGACCAGGTTTCTTGACCTCGACATGCAGACCTGCACTCTGCGCGCGCGCGCGGCTACGATGGATCGGAGGCGATTATGGCGTTTGACGCGGTCCCCCCCACATGGGCAACAACGGGCATGATCACCAGAGCTGTCGACTACGCCGTCACAGAGTGCGCAATGAGAGTCGGTCGGCACAATCGGCAAGCGCCGGGGGCAGTGCTGACAAGGGATGCTAGGTGGTGGGGGCATGCCGCTGGGCAAGGCGAAGGCCCAAACCACCAGCTGAAGTCGTGAGCGATGCCTGTGCCCAAGCATCCGCAGAAAGAGGGCCAAGCGCACACGTGCTCTAGACAGGCACGGACCTCGGCATCGAAGGCTTCAAGGCCTCTGCCTAGGAACCCCTGTGATCCCCCGTGTATGCCCATGTTATGTATACCCAACACAACTCTGAATTTAAGCTCTGAATAGCTGCTACACATGCCAACAAAGGCCGACAACCCCCTGAACAACTCCTGAACTGTAATCTCCCACAACCCTAGACTGCAAGCCCGACACGTTTAGCCCTCTAAACCTCCAATTCCACAAGCCCCAAACTCATCGCCATCCTTTGCCTTCGGGCACAGGTTCGCCTCGAAGAAGCGCGGTTTCTTGCCGGTTCTATAATCCACGGGCTTTCGTTTTGGGAGCTTAGGACCTGGGATTCAAGGGGGGGGGCGCTGGATTCGGGTTCGAGAGTGTAGGGCAAGGATGACTTATACTATGCTACCCAGGGTCCCTAGCCTGGAAAATGTGTGTATGTGGCTACGACGATGCACTCAATCACCCCAAGCCGTCCAGGCAGTTGGCGCTACGAAGCTTCTTTATGCATCTTTCTGCAGCACCAAGCTGGATGATCTTCGGTTACGCCTGATTCGTGAACCTAATAACCCTGCTGCGTAAACTGAAAACCCCTGTTCGTAAACTAAAGCGCTTGATTCGTAAACTGAAGCCCCTGATTCGTGAACTCAAAGCCCTGGCTTGTGAACTTAAAGCCCACTTTCGGAAACGGACGCCCAAATTTCATGGGGCCCCACATTCTTGACTTAGGATTCCTGAGCCGTGCAATGCCCACAAGCATATAGCTCTGCAGATCTAAAGCCCAGGCTCCACCAAACAAACGTGGACTCCGAACAGGTCTTTTGTTGGCTAAGCGGGTAGTCATGTCCCTGAGAGATATCAAAGGCTCCAGGCCTCCTCCTGCAGGCCTCACGATGCCCTGGCGAAGGAACTGCGCCCTCGGTGCAGCAGAACTGACTCATCTGACTCCGACGCCAGACTTCACCGATGTGGCAATTTCTTCTCAACACAGTGTTACCCAAAGCCCAAAGTCATTGAAGGGATGTACAGGAAATATTGGGGACTTGGAAGGTTTCCTCTCCCGGCCTTGTGAAGCTGCCGCTGGGAATGCTCAAAAAGTGCCTTTGCCCATCCTCTTATGGTTGGAAGGTCCTTGACAAGAAAAACAGCCTGCAAAGAGGCAGGTTCCATTGCTTGCGTGGCGGCAGTCCAAAAAACCTCGTTTCTCATAATTTTCAACCTCTCCTTTTTTGCAGTCCAGCAGCAAAAGCTCCTGCGGCACTCTCACAAAACGAACCTGCACAGGTGCATGTAGAACTCTCCGATAACATGCGCCAGGTGGGCGCACGTAATTTGGCTGGCTGCGCATTTTTCAAAAAGCTTTGAGGGGATTCACAATCTTGAGGGAGGCATTGGGAAATGCGATGTGTAATTAGCACTTTCTTCGGAGCAAGATGTAGGCAGATTACTGTTTCTGCACACGCGCGACAAGCACGGATCGGGAAGCTCCTGCTGCAATACTTCTTGTTGTATGTGTGATTCTCGAAGAGGTACGGACCGTGAGGAGCAAGTAGCATGACAGGCCAATTCCTATGAAGTCCCATGAGCTGCGCAGGGAGGAGTACCGAGGACAGCCAACTTTGATCACATGGAAACTCCTTTGCCTGGCCATCTGGGCCCAACATCCGGAGCCCCACGAACTGAGACTCCTCCTCATCGCCTGGGAGTTGGTCTGGGTTTGTGGCACCTATCCATGGGGTGTGGGAGA